GCTGTACCCGCCCCCTCCCCCGTCCGTTCCGCCAGTGGGCGCTGGCGGATCGGAGCGGGGGGAATCCAGCCCCTCCCCCGTCGCGGCAGAAAGCCGTGACAGGATCGAGAGGTGAGCGAACGCCGGCATGTGTTAGCTCACCTCCCGATCTACTGAGCCGACCTGTGACAGTCTCATTGTCACAGGTCGGCTAGAACTATGAGGTGAGTGAAAAGCACTCACCTCATAGTTCTCCTTTAAAAAGAAAACAAAATCCGAATTAAAAAAACAAAAACATCCTGGATTGCGTGCGCTAAACCAGCCCCTGGCAGTAGTCTGGCGGCAGAATCACTTCCAGTGTAAAGCCGGCAGTCAGTCCAGCATCGTCAGCCCTCATCAGGAAGGACAAAAGTCATTTTATTCTGCCCATCTCCTGTAATCCCAGCCTGCCCCGCCCCCGAGGGTGCATCATCATGCATGCTTGGCTCACAGCACTTTAGGATTGAGCGCCGCTCAGTCCAGGAAGAATGACCATTCAGGGGAAAAAAGAAAGAGGAAGATGCCACTGCATCATCACAAGCATATGAACTGTGGTGCATTATGTCCAATGGACCTGGACTTCACATCAATGAAGTCCAGCACACTCCATACAGCATTAAGAGAGCGATGGAGAAACGGAAGATGGTGCCACCACAACACAAGTCCCAATGCAAGATATCACCAGCACACTAGGACAGGACATGTTATGGTCGCCAACAGGAGGCCTCTTCCTCAGATGGCAGTGACCTGAACATGGTGTTCCAATGCACCTTGCCAGTGCACCCTAACACCCATGCATTTCAGTGCACTACAACGCTCCGATGTGACATATTTGTGCACTGCGGTGGGGTACCTTGGGGGAAAAAAAGTGTAGTTTCATTTTATTTTTTTGCTTTTAAAAAGGATAAAAATCGCCAAACTTTCCAAAATAAATGGGCTGCCTCAAAACAAAGCACACGGTATTGTCAGCAAAACCCCTCTAGGTCAGCAATTGGGTGTGTGGGGGGGGGTACCTACGACAATGACTGAGCACTTTTTTTTTTAAAAGGGAATATGGAGCCATTCCTCACTTCATTCCATTTATATTATGTCCAGGATTTAAAAAAATAAAATAAAAAAAAACCTATTTTGCTGAAGTTCTGCACACATAAAACACACATCGGAACACTGCAAAGAAGCAAAAATGCATGTACAAACGCAATCTGAAAATTGCAGCTTTGCAGTCTACAACCGAAAGTGTGAATGGGCCGGAAAAGAACAGGAAGTCACCTGCTCGGATTACCTGATAGACAGGCGAACATCAGGGTGGTGTATCCGTGTTCGTGTTCATTACAGTTGACGTCTGCTCCATGCTGCAGCAGGAGTTTACACAGATCTTCCTTCCCCTTATAGGCGGAGTGCATCAGCGGGGTCATTCCGTGCTGGAAAACAAGAAGCATACTAGAAACATTACTACATTTAATCATTTATATGGTGTTAAAACTTCTTGTATAGCGCTTTAGATAAGATAATTTACCCCCCCAGTCAATTCATATGGTCCTTCAGCTCTGGTTGCAATACTCACCCTCATTCTCGAGCTGTTTCTCCGCAGTACTACTTTCCTGCCACAAGAAGTCCTCAGTCGACTGGGTTGAATAATGCCTCCAAATTACAGGCTCGAAAAGTGGGCGGTTCCCAGCGGTTCTTCATGCCTGCAGTACTCCTTTCCTGCCACAAGATGTCCTCAGTCTTTTGGGTTGAACAACCCTACAAATCACAGGCTCAGAAAGTGGTTCCCAGGGGTCCTTGGTTCCGGCTGGCTGCTCTAGTATACTGTGGCATGGACCTAGTTTCCAATATACTTTTATTGACCCACCAGGTACAAGAAAGGACAGGCCACCTGAGCTCCTCCCACTAATGCTTTTCCCTCAATAAGAGCTTATGGTTTGTTTATGTTATGCTACAAACTTGCTGCACAAAGTCCTCCTGTATTGAAAGGGTTTACTGCCTTGTTACATAAAAGTGCAGGACAAACTTGATTGGCCTGTTCCTGTGTGTCCACGTCTCAGGTATGATTTACCACTGCCAATACCAACTGACCATGTCTTTCTTGCTATGTATGCGTATATACTATATTGCCAAAAGTATTGGGACGCCTTTACAAGCACATGAACTTTAATGGTATCCCAGTCTTAGTCTGTAAGGTTCAGTATTGGGTTGGCTCCGCCCTTTGCAGCTATAACAGCTTCAACTCTTCTGGGAAGGCGTCCACAAGGTTTAGGAGTGTGTCTATGGGAATGTTGGACCATTTGTGAGGTCGGGTACTGATGTTGGAGGAGAAGGCCGGGCTCGCAGTCTCCGCTATAAAATTCATCCCAAAGGTGTTCTATCAGGTTGAGGTCAGGACTCTGTGCGGCCAGTCACGTACCTCCACCCCAAACTCCCCCATCCATGTCTTTATGGACCTTGCTTTGTGCACTGGTGCGCAGTCATGTTGGAACAGGAAGGTGCCGTCCCCAAACTGTTCCCACAAAGTTGGAGCATGAATTTGTCCAAAATGTCTTGGTGTGCTGATGCCTTAAGAATTCCCCTCACTGGAACTAAGGGGCCAAGCCCAACCCCTGAACAACAACCCCCCCCCCCATAATCCCCCCTCCACCAAACTTTACACTTGGCACAATGCAGTCAGGCAAGTACCGTTC